AGATATAAACTATGCCATATAGGCCTTATTCATCCAAAATAATTACAAATGTTTTGGGCCAGATGTCAGGAAGAAATTGAAGGAAATGGGGCTTAGTAATCTCTATACGTTAATCAAAGAAACTCCTACTCATTTCACAAAATGAAATATGACTTACAATCATTGCCAGTGTCAGGGATTTGCTTGAGCTGCATCTCTATCTGCCTTCAGAAGATCTTGTTTTTCTTGGAAGTTTTCAGACAAGAGGGCAGTTTTAAGAGCAGGTTTTTCTTTGGCTTATCCATCACAGTTGTACTCGTATTCTCCATACTCAGTTCATCTTTCACCATATAAGCACAGTTTGTTACTCGGACGAAATCAGTGATCGTTCTTGCTACTGTAAACCAACAATGTTAACTGTTTGTGCTGCAGTGTCATGTAGAGATTTTAAATGTTCTACGCATAATGAGATTCGAAGTGTTCTAAAAGTGTTTTTTGCAATGTTTTAAAAGTGAAAGATAATTGCATATTACCAAAGACTATAGAAAACACTTAAAGGGACTTCGATATTACATAAAATCAAATATGAGCTGAATAAATTTAAATAATGACATGCTACAAAAGCTTTTAATTTAAGTTTTAAATGCAATTTTTAAGTTCAATTAATTAAATGTAGATGCAATTGAAGACAAATTGTTAAGCCCTTTTTTGAAATTGTAATTCCTTTGCAAAATGTTACCAAGTTTATGAAAAAAACCTGCAAAAATAATAATAAATAAATATGCAAATAAATGCATAAATAATTAAATAAATTCACAGATTTCAGCATCATTAAAACAATGAATAAAGAAATGATTTTAAAAATCCACAAATTCCAGCGTATATAATAAATAAATGAATACCCAAATAGATAAATAATAATAATAATATATATATATATATAAATAATGAAGTAAATTACACAAATGTTTGGGGAATCAGATAATGCTATTCTGAAAGTTGCTTTTCCCCCTTTTTAAGTATTTATTCATTTTTACATCTTTAAATTGCAAAATCTGTTATGGCTTTTCATTCATTCATTTATTCATTCATCTGGGATCATCCACAGGGATCATTCTAGCATATATTTCACAACGCATAGCAGCTATAATTAAAGACAAAATATTAAGCACACCTGTGAAATTTAAATTCTTTTGCAAATATTTAGAGCAAGGACATTTTTCGCTGGGGACAATATCATTAGCCCCTTTATCTCCACCCCCTCCCCCTTCTCTTTTAGGTAAATTCGGATTATCAGATTTGTTACTGTTATGTTTAATAGCAGAATAATGAGAGAGATATTTTTGAGAAATGATTATAGCTTTTCTTGAAAGTCAAGTTTACATACAATAAGATTATTATGCCTCTGAAAAAGCTCAGATGATGGTGTCAATATTTTGGAAGTTTCTGATTGGCTAATTAACAATATTTGAGTTCATTGGAGGCACAACTGTAGAATAGTAATTAACGAAAACCTCAAACACACTGCTTCCTTGTGTGACAACATGGGAAAATCAACAAGCCAGAATAAACAACAAAAAACCCAGATTACAATTAGCTAAATTCACTGGGAAAAAATAATAATTTTGGAGACATGTCCTGTTATCTGATAGAACTAAGATTGAACTGTTTGGCCATGATGACCAGTGTTACATTTGGAGGACAAAGGGGAAAGCTTACAAGCCTAGGAACACCATCCTAACTGAAGTACGGGGCCGGCAGCATCATGTTGTGGGGCTTTTTTTGCTGCAGGAGGGACTGGTGAAATGTATGTAAACTTTTGACTGTGTAGAAATTAATAAATTCTCAAAAAAAAAAAAAAAAAAAAAAGGAAAAATAAATAAATAAAATTCTCTCATTGTTCTGGAACTTAGTGCACCTAAAATAGTAAACATTTACAGTAGTATGATTTATCATCAGACATTTTTTACAAAATGGTTATGTTTCTTTTTTTAAAGTGTATGGAAACTTCTGGTTTCAATAATATTATGGTGTGCCCAACTGTCTTTATAAACAGGGTTGGCCAAGCTGCTGATTCGGATGGAGTTGGTCCTGCTAGATATTTATCAGTTCAGATTCAGTGTTATAAATTATGTGAACTGAGAGCTAACAAATTGCCACTTTCTTTTATTTTTTGCACTTCCTTGTCCATATGTATCCACCCTCTCCAAAGCACCACTTTTTGTGTACTTTCTCCATCAGCTGGAATCTCACCACTTCCCTGAAAGGTTTTATTGTAGTACGTTTCCATATCTTTCTGGAATCTGCACACAAACCACTTCCAGTAGGGCAGCTCAGATTTGTCAGGAGTGATGCTCCGGTTGGCATATTCAGGACCTCCTTTTCTGTATTGTTTACAGAGGACTGAATCATTTGAGGTTTCATCATCTGAATCATCATCATCATCAGCTGAATCACCTGAATTTGGATAAAAATCATGACCACTTGCTACTTCTGGTGTCTCTTCATTTAGTCCAACACTGCGACAGAAAGTGCAGTGATCTCCAAGATGTTCATCCATTAAGTGAGTGCAGACGGCTTTATAGAACGGACACTGAACCCAACAGCACTGACAGAAGTGCTCAATCAAAATCTCATCTGGTCTATTCTGGAATTGTTCTATTTTTATATGGTTGATGCTGTTCTGAAGCCTTTTCATCCTTTCTTTCAAATCATTACCTAAAAGGTCTTCAAGAAAATCCACATCTTTAAAATGCACTGAGATCAGCACAGTTCCCTGTGAGTTTCAGTTCATCTGTCATTGTTTTGAAACATTGAACCACATTTTTCCACCTCCTGTAGCTTCTCACTTCATTCTTTATGAATTGTTTGAAGTGTTTTAGGGGATTATGGATATATTTCATGTACTCCTCAAAGTCCTCCTTTTCTGCAAGGTATTTCAAGATGTGTTTCTCTAGATCTGGTCTTATACCACGCAATGCTTGTTTGTCAGACTTCATCTGTGCAGCTAACGCAATAGCAGTTTCATGTTTCTAGCATATATGAGGTGAAGGATTCGGATTTCTACCTTCCAACCCGTCTCAGCATGGATCAACGTTTATCCTTTTCTCATCATCCTGTTTTTCATTATTTTTACTAAATATAATTATTGGATTATTTCAATGAGTATTTAACTTTAAATTGATTTTAACCAAGGAATAAGTTAACACACTGCTTTATGTACTATAAGAATGTTCAGTGTAGTTGCTCCTCTCTTTGTCTGTCTATTTTAACTTTGTTTCCAGGAGACACACAAACCAGGTCATAGGTCATCGAGACCTCCCTCTCTCCGTCTTTTGAGTAGAATTACTGATGCTAAGGAGGGGGATCAACTGTTTCTATTGTCATATTGTCTACAGTAATTTAGCTTTTTTTTGTTAATTCTTTTTTAGAGTAATTCCTTTTTATGCTAGATAGACTTTGTGTGTAGTGAAGATATTGTTGCCAAATGTTGATTAAACCAGTTTTTAAACCAATTTGATAAAACAGCTGAACGTACAAGAAAAAACCTTGAGTTTCCACAACAGATTGTCTCAGATAATTAAATTAGACTGTCTCTATGTATGCCTCCATGGTTCAGATTTTAACAGGTCGGAGATCAGCTCTTAATAGTTTAGGGTCAGCCTGAACACCAAGAACCATGCCGCTATCCATATCTGGGGTTAGACACAATTCTTCATTGACGCACACATTTAGAATTGACTATTTTTACTGTAACCAATGAGAACTGTTTAACTGGATCCCACCTTTTCTAAACTTGTGTAAGGAGTATAATTGCTGCATTGTTGCACTGTAAGGCAGAGAGGCCTAGGAACTCATCGCGAGTGTTGAAGCTGGCTTTTGCTGATGAAACTGCAAACTATCTTCAGTAAACTTTATTTATTTATTTTAATCTCTGACTCCGGCTCTTCTTCATCTGACAGACTGGTCATTCTTTGGGTTAAAACTGCAAATAATCCCTACAGTGGGCATATATATGTTTCTGGCATATATGGGAAATATACATGTAGGGGACATGTTTCTGGCATACATAGGACATATGTGTTAAACATTAGGGGGCATGTATGTTTCTGATATATGTGGATATGTATATCTCTAACATATATGGGGCATTTATGTGCAATACATGTAGGGGACATATATGCTTCTGGCATATATATGGACATATATGTTTCCACTCAATAAAATTGCATAATCTTAAGATTTCAAGTGTAGTGAGCTCAAAATCATATTTAATCCTTTGAAAAAAATAAGTCATTTACCACAAATGTAGACTTTAAATTAAGAAAGAATAAAAAAAAAAACATGCACATCCAAATTAATCATTTGAAACATTTAATTATTCTATTTCATATTATGCTTTTACAAAGGTTTATTTTTTTTCTTTGCATGCAAATCTAAATAAATAAAAATAGGCAATGATTTGTACAATTACCTATCTCAACGGGAATATAAAAGTATAAGGTATACAACAAAGGCAGGTATTAGTCTACATTAGAAACAACAAAAGATAGAGAACAAAGTATAATTTGCCGGTCTCAGCCAATAAGCATCTTCTAAAACCAAACTTTCTCAGTTTTGGGGCACACTATTATAGAGAAGCTTAAGACTTACATAATGACAAATGTTAAATACTTACAGCTAAACAGTGACATTTTCACAGGACCTTTAACTGCTAATAATGCATACACGTGTGGTTTAAATTGTTTTATTATTTTGATGATGCAAATATATACAAACATCTCACAACATTTTAGAATAAAAAATAATAAATCTATAAGGTTATTCTAACAATACATACATTCACATAAGAAAGATTTTTACTTGGACATGTCTGTTTGAATTTCAGAACAACAACGCTGGCGCTGCGTAACTAGATATGACGTAAAGCATTGCGTCTTAATCAATTGGTTAAAACGTCTGTTCGTCACAAACACCTTAATTTCATTGGCTAAATTGATTCCGTCGTTGTTATTGGGCGGGGTTTATATTTCAAATTTCCAGCGGGGTGTGAACAAGTGGTTGACGCTTGAGGAGTGTATTGAAGTTTTAACACTTAGTTTTAAACAAACATTCTCATTTTAAATTATTTTTCCCACAATCTTTAGGCTTTCGACCTCTCTTATCGGTCATGTCTTTCTCAAGAGCTCCGTTGAAGAGATTTAACGAACATGTCGGTAAGTTTCAAGCGTCTCCTCAGTTCAAATTTAACGTTACGAAGTGAATGAAGCACTTCAAGCGCATTTAACGTTATAATCATATATTTTAATGTATTTGTAACGTTATGGGTGGTTCTCATGAAAAATAAACGTATTTAAAGAGTTTATAGCTTTTCATTGTAGCTGCGACGAATATCCAAACAACACTGAGCTCAACTTATTTAACAATACGTAAGGTTAAATGTAAATTTGCAATATGCTCTGTCGGTTTTTATATGGGCTCATTGGTATTGTTCTTGTTATCTGTAAATATATATAAAATAACATTTAGCAACGTTATATGCTGGTCATGTCTTATTGACTGTGTGACATGCATATCCTGAAAGATGAATCCTTAGGAAACATTCTTATTCACACACGTTTAATTATGTCTATTTAATATTTATGCGCATCTTTAGGTTGTGCTCCTCCACCTGGCACATATGACGTGAAGTCTGGAGACCTGAAGGGAGCTGCATCATTTCATAAAGCAGAGCGCTTCAAAACTGCTCCCAAAAGTAAAAAACAAAAACATGTTACTTTAAATAGTAGTAATATTACTAAATGTAATATTTTAAACTGTGTTTTATGAAGCGATAATATTTTAAACTGTTTTTATTGATTTTAATCAGCAGATGTACCCCTGCCATCTCCTTCAAAAGATGTCCTCATGTCTCCAGTTCGCAGGACCATGTCTGTTGATGGTTTGGTAAGAGCTTTTTATGTCATCTGTTTGCTAGTGGCTGATGATACTTCAGTTAATCATTTAATAGATGCACACACAACTAATGACTATTAACTAAACACAGCAAACTGACACCATTTTTGCATACAAAAATGCAGACTTCTTAATAAAACCTTTTTGCATTTTATTGTTCCGAGCTGTAGGTCTGATTTGCAATTAGGTAGTAGTAAAGGAGATTTACTTCTTTAAACCAAGGACATCGTAAATAAAATAATATATGATTGATTCCATTCTGAAATTCAGACCATGTTTTTTTTCTTTAGACCAGATATTTAAAACAATTATATTATCCTAAATACAACATGTGATCAAAATGTTTTGATACTTTGTTTGGGTGAACTATTACTTTTATTTTTTTTATTGGTTTTTAACAAGACCATACATGGTAGTATACAATACAATATAGGCAAAATTACATAGTCTTAGTTTTCTTGTATTCCCACTATCCCCTCAAAATGGGTGTCACGGTGGTGCAGTGGGTAGCACAATCTCCTCACAGTAAGAAGGTTGCTGGTTTGAGCCTCAGCTGGATAAGTTGGCAATTCTGTGTGGAGTTTGCATGTTCTCTGCGTGTTCTCGTTGGTTTCCTCCGAGTGCTCCAGTTTCCTCCACAAGTTAAGGGAGATGTAGTATAGGTGAATTCTAAATTGTTTTTAGGGTATGTGTGTGAATGGGTGTATATGAATGTTTCCCAGTGATTTTTTTTTTTGGAGCTGGAAGGGCATCCGCTGCGTAAAACGTACGCTGGGTGAGTTGGCGGTTCATGCCGCTGTGGCAACCCCAGATTAATAAAGGGACTAAGCTGAAAAGAAAATGAATGAATGAATGAATATCCCCTTAGTTGTATATAAAGTTATAAACAAACATCCTCTGGGAGATGAAATATAAACAAATTTTAAAAAGTTAAAGTTAAAAAATAAAAGAATGTAACAAGTTTATAATAAAAGATTAAAGAAAAGAAAAGTTACTCTAAGTAGTCAATATTTCCTCTCACCAGTTATTTACTGTGTATTAGATACCAACTGAGGGTAAGCCTTTGATATAGTCTAAAACAGGATTTAAAGTCATGTATGGTGAACTATTATTGTTATTTGAATTCTTAGGAAAAACTATGAATAAACTGAATAAAAAGTTTAATTTTAGTCTTTTTATTTTCAGAATTCTAAATGTCGAAGAACAGATGTCATTTCTTTCACATTTTTTCTTTTTATATGTTGACCACACTGTTTTAAAAATGTGCTCATATTGTTTTTTCTCCATTTTAGGCTGATGCATTAAGCTCCAAAAAAGACAAGAGTAGTTTCACTCTTGAAATGAAACATCAGAGACTACTAGAGAAAGAGGTACATCTGTTTGCACAAAACATTTTAAATATTTCTTGGATGACCATTTATTGCTTTGAGGCCTGATCAGTTTATTTGCCCCTTTTCTTTCCCTAATTTCAACCATCATTGCTAATGCTTGGAGTATAGATCCGTTCCTTGGTGCAGCAGAGAGGAGAGCAGGACCGCAGGCTGCTGGCCCTGGAGGAAGAACTGAAGAAACTGGAGTCTAAATTGCTTGTGGCAGTCAGAGAGAAGACTGGCCTCGCAGCGAATGTAATATCTCTCGAGAGGCAGCTAGCAGAGTTAAAGAAAGCTAATGAATTCCTGAAGACCAAGGTGACTAGTCTTTCTGTACCTGTGTGCTTTGGGATCTGTTTTGTTTTGTAGACCCCTTCAGGTAAAGAGGAATGTCTTGGATTTTCACAGGTCTCTGCAGATATCACCAAGAAAAAGATCAACGCTCTTTCCATGGAGCTCATTGAAGCTAAAAATAAACTGGATGCCAAAGACAAGGCGAGTAATCTCAGTCACTTTAGACATGTTGAAGAAGTGCGTGTGTGTGTTTTATGGTTCTCAGTGTAATGTTGGTCTTTGTTAAACAGGAGCTGAGCTTCCTACAGATAAGCTCAGAAGGAAAGGTAAAGGTCTTGGAAACTGATCTGGAGACTGCAAAAACAACGTTCCGAGTTCTGCAAGACCGGAATAAAGACCTTGGTGAGTCTCTTTGAGGAGCTGCTTGTATGATATTGTATATATGTAATTAAACCACTATTTATAATATATCTGACAATTGCTAACAGCAACTTCAAAAACAAATGATAATATTATATGATCTGATCACAATGCATTTTCATTTGAGATTTAAATGTAATGTTGAAAATACATTTTTTTGCTCTCTCAGACTGTAAATTTGGTCCCCTTATACTCAATCTATGTAGTTATTAATGCACACAGAAATTTAGCAAAAATAAGAGCTTTTCACAACATCCAGATTTATTTTTTGTCTGACATTTTTCAGGCTTCTCCAAAAAACTGATTCAGTGAGTCTCTCAGAAGTGTTCTCTGAAGACCCTGTCAGATGTATTTATTTTATTTATTGTTTGAAGTTGTTGGCTGTCAGTAGCAAAAATGTTATTTTTGTCAGATGAACCAGGAACATTTGACTGTCTTTTTGTCAAATAGCTTAAAATATCAGTTATGTCTGATATCCAAAACTAGTCAACAGATTTTTGCCTCAAACACAAAAGGAAAAAAAAAAGCCAGTGTACAAATTTTTTCTAACTTTTTTTCAAAGGCTTGTCATGCTGAGCAAAAGGAAGCAGGAAATGAAGTTACTTATTTTGAACACCAATGTTCAAATGTATTATTTTTGGAATACTCATGAAATTAAAAGGGTAGTTCACACCAAAAAAATGAAAGTTTACGCCTCATTTACTCTCCCAAAAGTATATCCAAAACCTTTCAGTTTTTTCTTCTGTTAAACAAGAAACAAGATGTTTGCAAAAGAGCTGAAAAAAAACTGTAACCATTGACTTTCATAGTATTTGTTTTTCCAACTATGGAAGTTGATGATTACAGGTTTCCAACTTTCTTCAAAATAAATTTTTTGGTGTTTAACCTAAAAAACAACAGGTTTGGAACAAGTAAATGGTGACATCCTTGTCAAATTTGGGTTAAATATTTGTTTAATGATTTTAATCATTAAAAATAAATAGCTTTTCAAGATTTAAAGTAGTACAAGATATTTTTCATTGAGCTGTGTCTTTGTTGTTTTGAACAAGTTTTGATCATGAATGTTACATCAATAGCACTAAGAAATGTTACTTGAGCAGCAAATAGGGTAAATGCACAGCTAGTGTTTCTTCCAATATCGATAAACTTCTGGTGATCAGTTAATGTGACTTTATTTTATTCAGTTCCTTTTGCAGCATCGATGCTGTGATGTATCTAAAATATAATCAGTTAAATAGACTTTGGCATTGATTTAGTTGTAGAAGCGTAAACTGAGATGAAAAGCTGTTTACACGTACGTGCCCGTCAGGATCAGCAGGCTAGCACAGAAGCGCCATTTGAAAATACTGGAGTAAAATTAATTTGAATATTTAAAAGACATGGTGCAGGAAAGTGTCCTTTAATGCAGTGCTTCTTGTACATTCTGAGACCCTTAGCAGAGTTATATATCATTTAGGCAGTGAAGATTGTTGATTTTTAAAGAAAACGCACCTTAAACGTACAGTTTTTTTAACCACATACAGTTCATCGGAAGTGTTTGACCCAAGTTACTGACAAATTAAAAGTCCTTCTGCACATACCCTATTGGCTTAAGTTATGAGCATACTAATTTGAATTAATAAACTGAAAATATATTATTATTATTTTATTTTAAATGTTAAGTTTTAAAATATACAGCCACTTTGGCCAAAAGATAAAAATAACTGAATATTAGATTTTTATATTGTCATTTCTGTTTGTTTAAATGTAAAAAAAAATCACAGTAATGTTGGAGCAATACAGTGACATTTGATTTCTGATTTTCCAGTCAACTGGTTTTAAAACCATTTATTTATTGTTTTCAATGATTACTAATAAATGATTACTTTAAAGCATGTATAATTAATGTTGCAATCTGACAATTTTTCTTATTACTAAAAAAAATTTCAGAGGACCTACATCAGGAAACAAGAGCCCAAAATGAGCTGCTTGAAAATGAAATGGACAAATTGCATAGTAAGTTTGCATGCTAGGATCTGTGTTTGTTTTATAATGTTATATTGTTTATATATTTATATTCTGCATCTTATATTGGTTTTTATAATATTACATTGCTTTGTTACTCCTTTTTTTTACTTCTGCAAATGAAGACATAATCCAGGAACTGAGGGAGGAGATCAAAGCTCTGCAGAGTTACTTGGACTCAGCGAATGAAGAGATTCAGGTATTGGTTTTGGTCAACAGAATTTGACTCTCCTAAGCCAGTTGACATTTATTCACCCTTAAGTTGAATCATCAGTCTTTGAAGTGCTGCTTGGTTTGAGATAAGCTGTCTGTCTCACTCTCCAATGTCAAAGGATTTGAGGATTAAGCTCCAGGACAAATCCACCATGGAGCGCCGGGTGTCTGATGCTCAGGAAAACCTCAGGTTAGAGCTGCGTGCATTTTATTATTGTTGTTTTCATGGTATCAGTGTGCACATCTTCATCCGTCTTTATTCGGCTCTGTGCAGTGAAGTGGAGCAGAAGTTGGAGAAATGTACCGCTGAGCTGCAGGAGTGTCAGGAGGCACTGAAAGTAAAGGAAGATGAGGTGCAGAGGTCTAAGCAGGAGCTGCGGGACTCCCAGAACGCCCTAGAAGAGAAGGAGAAAGAGATAGAGCAGCATGCGCAGGACCTGCAGGAATCTCAGAGCTCGCTAAAAGAGTTGGAGGAACGGATGAAGCAGGGGGATCGGGATCTTGAGGAATCCTGGAGCTTGGTAAGGCAGCAGGAGCAGGAGCTGGCCCGTGTAAAGGAAGTCTTGAGAAGGACTGAGGAAGAGCTGGATCAGCGTGTGGCACTCATGGGGGAACGGTGCTCGCTGCTGGAGGATGAAAGAGGTAAATTTATAAAAAAAAAAAAAAAAAAGTAAAAATCTTTATTTAAAGTCTAAAAAGTCTCATTTAATGATTGAGTTCTACTCTAGGTCCTCCTTTGTACCACTAATGGTACCTCTTAAACTGATTTAAAAGCTACCAAAGCATACTTTAAAATGTGTTGTGGTGTAACTTTTTTTCCACTAGTTCAAAATTAATCTGCCAGTATTGCAACTGTATAACTAGTATAACTACAAATGGAAGCAACATTGTGATACAGGTCTTAAATTTCCTTCACAGTGGCCTTCAGTTCTTAGTCTTAAATTTAATTTGGTGAGACCTGCAGAAACCTTGATTATGTAGATATTGTGTATTTTATTTGATTTGACGGGCTTGTTTATATGTGATTGTATGCAGCAAAGATGCAAGAGGAGGGTCTGCGACAGGTAGAGGAGCTCAAGGCAGAACTCTGCTCGTTGGAGGAGAGCAGAAAGACTGAGACGGAGGCATACGAAAAGCTGAAGGAGGAGCACTGTGCAGTAACCAAACAACTGGAGGAGGAAAAGGTAATCAAGAGAACAGATATTTAGGTGAAGTTTACACTTGTACTAAAGGGATTGTTCACTGAAACATGAACATTAGCTGTTAAAAATAATAATAATAATAATAATTCGTTACATTTATATAGCGCTTTTCTGGGCACTCAAAGCGCTTTACACAATGGGGGGGAATCTCCTCATCCACCACCAGTGTGCAGCATCCACCTGGATGACGCGACGGCAGCCATTTTGCGCCAGACCGCACACCACACACCAGCTGATTGGTGGAGAGGAGACAGAGTGATGATATGCCAATCATGATATGGGGAGGGTTAGGAGGCCATGATGGACAGAGGCCAGTGGGCAGATTTGGCCAGGATGCCGGGGTTAAACCCCTACTCTTTTTCGAAGGACATCCTGGGATTTTTAACGACCACAGAGAGTCGGGACCTCAGTTTAACGTCTCATCCGAAAGACGGCACTCACTGAGCAGTATAGAGTCTCCGTCACTATACTGGGGCATTAGGACCCACACAGACCGCAGGTTGGGCACCCCCTGCTGGCCTCACTAACACCACTTCCGGCAGCAACCTAGCTTTCCCAAGTGGTCTCCCATCCAGGTACTGACCGGGCGCAGCCCTGCTTAGCTTCAGCTGCTTAGCTTCAGTGGGCGACCATGTGAGAGTTGCAGAGAGCTAGCTGCCGGCTGCCTGTTAATTAACCTGACCTGAAAAGCCGCTTTATTGAAGATACTGAAATATAATGTTTATTACTGGAATTTTGCTTTAAAGTAGCCATAGAGTGCATTGATTCAATAAATGAAATTGTTCTTTGATATTTACATATTAGGTATGTGGCTTATGTAAGTAAAAATTCTCCGGAAATGTATTTATATGCATGTTTATGACTAGAAGAATTTCCCCAAGAATGAAAAGCACAGTTTTGACTATATTAGGACCAGTCGTGAATATTAATGAGCTTTGGTTTGACACTCTGCCACCAGTTTCAGTGCCTGATCATGCACACGCAGCACATGATGTACTCTGAAATACACACAGGCAAAAATAATTATAGTTTATTTGTCAAAAATATTTGAATAAACTGTGTTGATGTCAAAGAAGTTCATGTTAGGAGCTGTTTACATGTGTTTGTTGTCTTGTTACAAACATACTCACTAGCTAATTTCACAATATACATGTTAAAGTGACAAGATACATTTAAACAGACCTTATTCCTCTTTGGGGTGCTGCGGAATCAATGTATAATCCATATATATCCATATTTTGGATTCTGACGAGTTGTAAACCGATGACTCATGGCCAACATTCTTCACAATATTTAGTTTTATGTTTAACAGTTGAAAGAATAGATTAGTTTTACTAAGTGTTTAACTAGTCTAAAGAGAACCAAAATTATATATATATATATATATATATATATATATATATATATATTTTAGTAATTAATACCTTTGAGTTTGTCATGAACAAAGCTTGTGATGCTGAAATAGTGGAGAACAGCAAATAAATAAAATAAATGTATAATTTAAAAAAATGATTTATTTATTTATTAATTTTTTTCATAACCTACATAATTGGCCATCCTAACGGCATCTAATCAGGCCCGTAACCAGCCTGGTGAAAGGGTGGTTCTTTTTGCTCAGTTATTCTCCTTTTTTTTAAACTATGAGGTTTAAATGCATTTTAAACACAATTTTTTGCTGAATCAGCCTGTTAGATGTCATCATAACCACACTTTTTGATGTACCAAAAATATTTCCTATAGATTTACAATAAATAAATATGGCATAAATTATTATTTTTATATATATTTTTTTTACATCATATATCTTTAGAAAAAAAAATCTAAAGTTTTAAATTTAAAAACTGTGGCCTATTTGTTTTTATTAGGCAAACAACAAACTGGCTTTCAACTTTCTAAGGTCATAAATTGGCAACTTTAATGATAAAAAAATAATACTTAACATATTACTACTAAAAATAATAAAATAGAGCAGTGGTTCTCAAATTGTGGTACGTGTACCACTACTGGTACGCAGGCTTCCTTCTAGTGGTATGCGGAGGAATTAAATATGTCATGTATATGCTACACACTTTTCAAAATTTATCAAAAATTATGTATATCAAATACCAAATATGACATATAGCCTATATTTCTGGGGCAATCTGCCATGTTTTTTAACTGTGCAGAGTTGCAGCTGCTTTACTGGGCCTACTACGCTACTGTATATTTCAATACTGCTCATTTTGGTGGTACTTGGAAAGACTATTTTTTTCTGAGGTGGTACTTGATGAAAAAAGTTTAAGAACCACTGAAGTAGAGCTTAGTGATTTTCTAGCCTCTCTTGGTTAAAAAAAGTACATTTGAAAATTGATGAATGACAACAATAGCCAAATTAGTATTCAAATTCATTTTATTATGGCCAGCTTTTGGTGCTTTCAAGAATAGGTTAGGTTAGAATTAAAGGTTTCTTGTAAAATATTTTCTCTATTTAAAAACAATACAGTAGCGAAAGATTACTTCACTTACATCAGATTGTATGTTTTCTTGCACAGCTGGATGTTCATGAGAAATATTTTTTAGCATTGGCCAAAACTGATTAGGTGAAGTCACAATGAAGCGACAGCCAACAGAGGATTCTGCTTGGTCCTAAAGCTTTTTTCAATGGATTATTTTTACTATTTTAGATGGCATAGCAGTCAAAATAAGACAAATGAGCTCATGTATGGGGCAAATTCTAGATCTTTGTCAGTGTGTGGTGTGTGTTTCGAACCACCCGAACCCCCCTGGCTACAGGCCTGCTAATATACTTCATTGCTCAAGAGGGTATATTTTGCAAAAAATTTGCAACTTTTAGCTTTGACATGGTTAAAACAATTACAGTATTATCAGTCAAACTTTGTCCTATATATAAATACATACACTCCTACTAATTCTAATGATATTCATACACAAGCCATTTGAGATTAGTTTTTATGTATTTGTTGTTGTTGTTTCTGACCTTTTCTGTGGCTGACTTTTAGAAACTGGAACCTATTTCATTAGCTTGACTAAGTGTCTGTGTCTTTGGACTCAAATGGGAAAACAGTTTTGCTAGAATGTCATTGTGATTTGTTGTGCTACTTTTAGAGGAAAAAATCAATAGTGAATATAAGTGTAATGTGATTTATACCAGTTTGAGTGGGACAATTAAGTGAAGAGTGCATCTTAATAGACTTTAAGCAGGTTGTACTGCATCGTGTCTGAATCAGGAAGTCAAAGTCTCCCTGATCGACTTTGTGGATTAGGCTAATGTCTCTTAAGCTCCTCTAATGTGTGTTGCTGTAGACTCACAGCGGCTCCCTGGCTAGCTTGCTTGAGCGCCTGAGAGATGACACCGAGGCGGAGAGGAGACAGCTTGGCGAGGAGTTAGAGGACGCGCTTGAGGAGCTGGTGGAGCTGGAGAAGCAGGAGCAGTGCAGTGAAGAGGCCATCCAGCAGCTCACACTGAACAACCAGACACTGGAACAAGAGCTGAAGAAATCCTGTGCGGAGTTGCAAAAGTGAGCACCAATGATGACTTGTAGTTAAGCTGAGATGGATCACATTTTGTTTGGTAAAATAGTAAGCAGTTTTTGTTATTTCTTATGGCAGGACTTGTGCTGAAATGCAAGCTTTAGAAGAAGCTCACGTGAGGGCGATCAAAAAGTTAGAAGAGGATCACACCAGTTGTCTCGCAAAGCTGGGAGATGTAACAACTGACTTTGAGAGGTATTACTTAAAACACCTATTTGTTTAAACAAAGCCCAAAGAATGCTTCCATACAAAGCATATGCAAACAGTTAAATGTACAACCTTTCAATGTATACTGTACGTCAGTTGTCTGGTATGTATCCACAAATGTTTCATTGCACATGCAGTATGACAACTCTCAATATATGCTGGCCTATAGGATTCCTCCTGTGCACCTGTTTCGTACCACAAGTTTAACCCACATAACTTTGTTGTAAAAACGAGGATACTTTCAAATCTTTGTAGACTTTGTATGTAGTGCGTATGGTTTCAAAAAGTCAGCAGTAAGTGTACAAGTGTAGCATTCCGATGATGTTTACATCATGCACATTTTATGCTGATACTGATTTTTATAAAATATTTAGGTGGATTTGCACAACAGACACATACAAAAAAAAAGTAATTTGTTTTTACCATTTTCAAACAGAAATGACAACATTTACCACAGTGGATATTTTCACAAGACTGTTATGACGTGTTTAACGGTCATCATAATCTTAAATCCTTGTTTTTAATATTTAGATCCTTTTTTTTTTAAGTGTATAAACATTTATATGCATTTATGAATGTATTATATCATCTTTGCGTCAAATTACAAAAAAAATAATTACTGTTCATGCGAGATGTTTGTAATGCAACATCTATGGGGCTGAGAGTAAATTTGATGTTATTCTCTCCTCTGGCAGGCGTCATCAGTCTCACTTTTTTTTCTTTTTTTCTTCTTGTATTTCAGCAAATAGGATTGTAAATAATTATTTGTTGTTGTATTCTCCCATTTATTGCGCTAAAAATTTACCCACCTATGACGATTTCTGCTACTGAGATACCCGGAAATGTGAAAAGGGTCTACTCCTGTTAACACAGATCCACCAAAAATAAAGAATGCTACATTTAAGCACATATTCTTTTTGATCTTATACTTAATGTATGAGTGGTTGCAGCCATTGGAAACTTTTTGGCTAGAGACTTCCAGTCTCATTCACCTCCATTGATTTTTTTTTTTTTTTTTTTTTTTTTTTTTTTTTAACCTAGGTATCCAGCTTGATGTTTCTAACTGATAATTTCTTAATATAGTTTTATACTTATGTATTTAGTCATGAACAATCTTGTTTGTAAAGGGCTGGGCGATATTGCAAAACTATATCACAATATTATGTTTTATATCATTCAGTATTGATAATTATCGAATATTTTTTTAACAATACATTTAGGAATATTAGGATTTTTTGTTATTTAACCACTTTATTTTAATTTACCAACATTATTAATAGTAGACATAGTTTTAATAGTCAAAAACAACTATTTAAACAGTATCTCATCTCCTCATAATGAAGTAAACATAAGTGTTGAAGACATTCTTAAATTTAAATAAAATGCTATAAAGTGTGTGCAATGGTAAAAGTAGATCAACATCTGTAAGGTGTGAACAAAAAGGATACAGTAAACCTCCAACTCTGTATACAACAAATTATGATAATCAAATCTGAGCTTTCAAGTAAAGAAATCAGCCATCAATCAAATGCATATTGCAATTTTACAAATTGTTGAATGGCTACATTATCCAAAAATCTTTCAGATGGGAAGCTAGTGGCTGGGATGCACGAGAAAAGAAACCAAAAAGCCACTTTGGCAACATACTTGCATTCTTTTTATATTTACAATCTCCTCACTGCTGCTAGCCATGGCACTCATTTTTGCAAGTGTTGTTATTCTGACACGAAATAACAAGTGCGAGTGCGTGGATTCCTTGAACATTTCCAATGGGCTTAGCTCTCGTGCTCTCCTGGCGTCTCTTGTAACTAGGTGCCCATCAACCGTTTTCTCAGAGGATGACAAACAGACCATTGCTGCAGCTCAAATACAAGTTTATGGAGAAAAGTAAAAAAACATAATTACTGAAATGTGTATATTCCATTCAAAGTGATGCAGATTGGTTCTTTCTAGTAGCACGAATCATTCGGTATTCAGAAAAGTTCGGATGTTTTTCTACTAGGTGTACCTGGAAAAAGCGCGCGTCATGTGCACGTCGCTACCATGTGCGCGTTGTCGACAAACTTGCAGCCTAAGCTTATTGGCATTCCTTCTAGGGCGCCCGCTTAGCAGCCACATTTGAATAAAACCATAACCTTCATACCAAACGCTTTTTTTCATTGTTATTAACAGTGGTGTTCGGTCAATAAATATCAATATTGGTTTTATTGCCCAGCCCTACAAGTAAATGAACATCTAAAACGATGGCAAAAATAAGTGCACTTCCTCATTACAGAATAAGGTCAATAGATTGAACATGTGTGAATGTGATATGCATGTACATGAGATCAGTTTTTTTAGCTTACACAGATGATAATGGTATTAATTTTAGAAATCGTGTAATTTTGGTTTATTTTAGGCCTGTCAATCAATTTAAACATGACAGCCACGAGGTAACGCATGATTAATAGCACATTTTAGATGTATTACATATACCTTATATTAAATATAGTGTATCATTATCTTAAACCTCATAAGTCTGCCTTTTATTGTCTGTCACATTTTAATTTAATTACTAAAGGACAAGGCAAGCTCTGGGTAATCAGAAAGACCATGCAGAGGCCCAAGTCCATCAGCTGGTGGAAGAGATCAACCAACTAAAGCAACAGCTACAGCAGGACCAGCAGAAGCTCTTAAGCCAGCAAGAAATTCAGGATCAAAAGCAAGAGGAACAAGCTAGGTCAGTATTACGCCTGTAAACATCAGCTCATATTTCAGCTCGTAGTACTTCAGAATATACACTGACTTTAAAGGGATGGTTCAACCAAAAATAAAAAAATAAAAATTCTGTCATCTTCAACTTGTTCCAATCCTATTTGAAGGTAGACATACTGAAGGTTGTCGGGGGACAAAAAACACTCATTGACTTCCATTGTATATATTTTTTCTAACTATGATAGACTATTTTTTCTATCAAAGTTTAGAACCACTTGAGTGTGTGGAAATTATTTTTGTGTGAACTATCCCTTAACTGTCTGTTAAAGTGAATGACAGCTATTGTGTAACACACTGTTGGTGGTACTGGTGTGTTTCAGGATGCTTTTAGAAGTTCAGACTAAGCTTGCTCAGAGAGAGGAAGAATTGAAGCGAGCAGCAGAGACTCATAGCGAGGAGCTGAGATGCTTGCAGATGGATGTAGAGCAGGAGAGAGGAGAGAAAGAGCGTGCTCAGACCCAGCTGGAGAAAGAGCAGAAGAGGAGACAGTCGGTGGAGGGCCGTTCTGCAGAAGCCAGCAGGGTGAGAAGCCATGTGGAGGAGTTGGAAGATGAAGTGTCCAAGCTGCGCAGGCTGATGCAGGAGGAAAGAGATGCAGCTAAACATCACACTGTGGAGTGGCAGCAGGAGAAACAACAGCTATGCACACAGATTGAGGAGGAAAGACAAGACCTCCACAGGCAACTGGCTGAGGCTCGACTGCAGAGGTGAGAGAGTATGAATGCACTCAACGGTTGTGTGGTTCCTATCATAGAGTCTGTCATGCAGCATACTTTGTGTGTGTATCAGATTGTCTTTTGTTGTTGTGTTTAATTCGTCTTTTTATTCATTTACACCCAGCACCAGTGATTCTGAGACTGAACACTGGAGAAACTTGTATGAGGAGCTCTATGCTAAAGTTAAACCATTTCAGGTAATCTAAAACAGAATTTTTGGGGAGGGACAAAGAGCTAACTAACATATTTTACTTGTGTGGTTTCAGCCTTTTTTCTGTTGTACAAAAAAAACAGTACTAAAATTTGAGGTTGTGTAAAACACAAATATGAATAATTTTTGTTTCTGTTTTGGCAGAGCGGATGAAGTCTTTTCTGATCAAACCACAGACAGTAGTTTTTAGTAGTTCCCATCACTCTCATTCTCTGTGTTGATCCACATTTTGAGTATCACATGAGAAACCAGTGGTGGAAATGCCAAATTTTTAATTTTAAGATCCAAAAAATTAATTTCCAAAAAGGTTTTTATGCTTCTTTAGGTGGTTTCAGACTTGTGTGAAAGGATTGTGAATTATGATAGATGGAAGTAACTAGGACTTGGTGAACATTACTGTTGGTTACTAGATTTCCAATACTATAGTCGGCTACTTTGACAATTGAATGGAAACGCACTTGATTTGCATCTGAGTTTTATTACATTTTTTTTTTTTCAAACCCAGTATGTGTGCGTGTGTGTATGCAGACAAATTCCACTTCCAAAACTTATTATTTTTATTTTAAATGTAATATGCTTTTTCTTGTTTGTTTTATTTACTTACTATACTGCTGTCAGCCATCAGGGGTTGAGCAATATATTTTAGTGTCATTCTTCTGGTTTGCTGCAACTTTGATTTAATGCATTTGGGCATATGCATGGTGGCAGAGAGAGCTTAACGTGCTACAATTTAAGACACAGGCAGTTAAAAAAAATACCTGCAAATTAAGAAAAGCTCTTCATTTATTTTACCGCACACGTGCTGTAAATCTTTACAACGTAAACGCATTTTAAAAAAAAAACACTGCATTTTCCCACAACGTAAACAAATTGAAAAAACATGCTACATTTTCTCACAACAAAACAATTTACGAAAATTATCTGTATTTTCTCACAATACTTTCAAAAACATCAAAACAAGTGGACCCAAAAACGTGCTCCGTGAAGTTGTAAGTGATCCTTGAAAGGTGAGTTTTATTTATTTTGTATGCATATTTTGTATGCATATTATATATTGTATTTTGTAAACATATTTAGTATGTTTAACATCCTGATTTCCTTGTCTTTTGTATTTTATTAGCCTAAATAACCATAACCTAAATTGATGGATCTGTCACATTTTAGGATCCTCTTTCCTTTAACATTCCATGCTGTTTGAAAGTGTTGTGAGAATTTAGTGGCTTTCTTAAACTGTTTACATTGTGAGAGAATACACCACATTTTTAAAAATGTGTTTGTGTTGTGTGAATTTAAAGCACGTGCTGTCAAACAGATGAAGATTTTCCTCTTACTTGGCTGGAATTTTTTATTTTTTTTTATTTTTTTGTAATCGCATGCGTTTCCTTAAACTGCAGCATGTTAAGCTCTCTTAGCCAATGTACATATGAGCATTTACACAATGACAGCAGTCCAGCTGAGTGAGTTTTTGATTACTTTTGGACAGGGTCTTAAGTAAAAAACCTTTACATTTCAAAACATATTAACATCTATTTTTATTGTTGTCCAATTGTTATTTGGATTTATAAACTAATTTTTTGTACACAGAATCATCATGTACAAATCATCATTTGTATAAAAAAAATTAAGGCTCATCTATTAAATACCTAACAGCACTTTTTAAAATAATAATTAATACATAGAAACACCGGCCTCAATTTACAGGCATTGTAAAGGATGAGCAGATTTATTGATTTATTTTTTGTATACATATACAAAATTGTAGAGATTTCTTCTAAATGGATAAGAGTTGAATAGTAAATATGCTACTATAGACCATTTTGAGTACTGTAAACCATAACAATGGTTCTATTGTATTTCCCTTTTTTACATTTTTCATTCTGATAGCTTATGATAATCCAAAACGGTCCATAAATTGATAATGTTATGACAGCTGTTTTAACGTGAAGATATGATTGAATTGCTGCTGGTTACGGTTATAAAATAGCATGATAAGAAGCAGGAAATGTTCATGAGCCAATGACATAAGCATATTGAAATGGTCTATAATCTTGTTTGTCTGCTTGTTCTGGTCCTCAGGAACAGCTGGACCGTTTTGCAGCAGAGAGAAGCGCTTTGTTGAATGAGAAGGGAGCCACACAGGCCGAGCTGAACAAGTTAGCCGATGCCTACGCCAATCTGATGGGCCATCAAAACCAGCGGCAGAAGATCAAACACATGGTCAAACTCAAAGAGGAGAACTTGGAGCTCAAACAAGTAAGGGATTAATTAATCATAAGTAAGCTGTCAACGTTTGCAGGTGCACAGCTGACCTTGTCCACATGTTCTGTAGGAAGTGTCTAAACTAAGGTCACAAGTTGGGAAACAGAAGCAAGAGCTGGATCGACTCAAGTCCAGCGAGACAACACGGAGGTTCGACCCCAGCAAGGCTTTCAAACACGAGCTTAAAGAGAATCAAAAGCCCAGCTCTGCTCTTACACAAGGTGAGTTAACGATAGAGGCCAGGAGAACAGCACACAGTAGACTAGGCCTGACATGATTTAATATTGCTTTTTTATGCCAGTAGTTTTTAATGATCTTACATACAGACATTGACATTACATGGTCTGTATTATCAGAATAAAAATAATTCTAAACTAATAATACAGTAGCAAATACAAACATACACGTATAACACCCTAAACATAACCTGCAGGTTTGACTGATACAACAATACCGAAAAAATCTTTTGTTCTTTTAAAATTGTTCTTGATGTATAATTCTACATTTAAAATGTGAATAGATGAATTTTGGAAAAAAAGGAAAAATATTTATAATCTACATCCATCTCTAGACTGAGGCTAATTATTTTCCAGTAGATGGCAGCAGTCTTCCACTACTTTCACATTTTTCCGGTTATTTCAGTGAATGAAGATGAGATGTGCAGTTTTTTTTTTTTTTTTTTTTTTTTTTTTTTTAGGGATTTACATAAAATCCTGCTGCTTATTATATACAAGTTATTAAATAAGACAAAAAAAAAAACATTCAACCTCTCAAATTACTAAATTGTTTTTTTTGATAAAGTTAGACCATAGATAAAGTTTTGAAGTGATTAATATGGCTGGGGTATAGGCAAAAGTCAAGGTTAACATATTCTGTTATACCATATATGTATTTATGTATTTTATGTGTTGTAAAATAATCTGTGTTTTTGAAACTAATAAAGACCGTTTCTTTACCCAGACATTAAATAAGAACGTGAACTGTGAAACTATGGTATTTTATCCAAGGTTATCATACTGTTCCATGCCTACTGGGGATATATCATTTTGGACAATGTGAAATGTTTACGAAACCACTGCTACAGTATCTGAGAGCAGATGAGAAGAAAAGATGCATTTTATGCAAACTATGAACAATATGTTGTCTCATTATCTTTGATTTTGTTTCTTATTTAACTCTTCTTTTTAAAGGCAACCGATATCCGCATTGAGCAGCCATTGGTGGACTTGTTTTGTGGAATAACCCAGGCTTCTGGGTGACTGGTCAACATGGACACTGACAGGTGATTGTCTGACACTCAAACGTCTTAACTGTGGCTCTACTATATGTCAAATTGTGGATATTATTTATGTATGTTCTGTTTTTTTTTGGGTGTGCACATGAATTTAATAGTGTTGTTAATGTCTATTATGGGACAACCTGTTCTTTTTAGATGTTGGTTTGGATTTGACTTTATTGGTGAAAATGTAAATATAAGGGCTTGGCATCACTTAGTATTTTCTGTTTACTGGTTTTGTTCAGCTTTTGTCTTAACTTTCCTTAATTTCAAAAGTTAGCCCACTGTTAGTTACATATTTGTTTTAGTTTTCCAATTAACAGTATGTTGCACCATTCATTTTGTCTTTGTATGAAAGTATCATTTGACTTGTTTTTAAATAAAATAATTGATTTTCTCCCTTATTCCAATCTCATCATAACACTGATATTTTATTCATTGATCACGATTTCTCATCTGTTAAAGATCAAATGTTCCAGCAGATGGTGCTACAAGCCAAGGAAAAGCACCATGTATTTCAGTCAATTTATTTATTGTTGCTTTCGGTGGATCTTTACTACAAGCTTCCATTTGAAATGTCAAGCAAACAATGACTTTTCTTGCGTGTAATGGTCATTTATTGCTAAGCTGAACATGCATTGCGCTGGCTGTTCAGCTGCAGTAGTCCTCCAGGTGGTAGATGGTGCAGGGCCTGTGGCAGCATTGCTCCACAATCCCCCTCTTCATCTTCATCACCTTCTCTTTCAGCGGATCCGCATCTGCTGCCTCATAACCTGCTAAATTTGAGAGCAAAGCTGGGAGGAGAAGAGGAAGGAGTTAGTTAAGACGAGACCATTAAGGTGAAAATGGGCAAACAATTAATAATCATTTATCACCAGTTGATTGATTACATTGAAAGGTCAGTTCACCCAGTAATGTAAATCGTTGTCAATTACTCACCCTCATGTCATTTCAATTCCCTGAGACCTTTGTTATTCGGAACACAAATAAAGATATTTTTGAGCTTTCCGGCCCTCTGTAGACCGCAATGCTCCAGAGACATTCAAAGGAACCAAAAGCATTCCATGTGTTTTCAGTGGTTCAACTGTGACCATGAACAATTTTGTGCACCAAAAAAAATGCAAAACAAGTTTGTTTGCTCGTCTGGCAAAGCAAATAGTAAATGCCCACCTTGACAAAGACATAGTTATTTATTATTATTTTTTTGCACAACTATTTTCATTGAATTCGTATGATTACAGTAGAACCACTGCAGTCCTGTGTAATGTTGATAATGTTTTTGGTTCCTTTTCTGGAGTTTGTTGTCTAAAGAGGATAAGAGTGTGCATCCAAAAAAAAACATTTGTGCTCTGAAGATGAACAGGGGTCTTCAGAGCTTGAAACGACATGTGTAATTAAAAATCTTTTTCCAAAAAACACAAATTTCTCTCTTTCAGTTGGTCCAAAATGCTAATGCTGGATTCATTTGTAATAGTAGGAGACTTGACCACATTACCCCTCTTCTAAGGGGTCTCCATTGGCTTTTAAAGTGCTTTAACTGGTATGTAAATCCCTTCATAATCTAGCCCCAACCTATCCCTCAGAGCTGCTGCATTTTCACACTCCCGTACGATCTCTTAAATCAAGTGATCAAAATCTTCTTTTAGTTCCTCAGTCCAGACTGAAATGTTGAAGGGGACAGAGCTTTCTCTGGGGTGGGTCCTTGGTTATGGAACACTTTTCCCTTGAGATTAGAATGACTCCATCACTATCTATTTTCAAATCACTCCAAAAACGTATGCGTTAAGCTTGGCTTTTTAATATTATTTTAATAGTCCTTTCTGAACTTTAACTTGAACATTAATAACAGTTTTTTTGGGTAAACTAACTCTTAAGTAAATATTTTTGTATCATAGATCTAATATATTATCATTAAATATGCAAATGAGACATTATTTAATCAAATATGTGCTAATTTGCATACATTTATATATCTAAAATCTTCAAAATCCTGTTCAGAAGTCTAAAATCCTGGCTTCTTTGCTCGAGTATAAGAGTCAATTGTTTTTACAGAGGGGTTGTGTGTTTTACTTCACAATTCAGAAAAAAATGGTGGGACTTTATTATTATTATTATAAGAAGAATATATCTCTTTTTGTAATAACCTACAGAATCCAGATACACACAACTAAAGTTTGGTGTATGAGCTGCTTAGAGGAGAGGAGAATTTACAGCTCAGTGCAGTGCAGAATACCGCTTAAATGTTTTGTAAAATAAAACTTTTAGAGAAAAACTGGAAGTGCTTTAAAAGAAACACTTGGTGCAATGGCCTCAACGTCAAGTCCGGGAGGGCTGCAGCTCTGCATAGTTCAGCTCCAACCAGCTCCATCTCACACCTGCTTAATAGTCTCTAGTAGTCTTGAACACCTTGATTAGTTGGATCAGCTGTGTTTGATGAGGGTTGGAGAAAAACTGTAGAGCTTCGGCCCTCCAGGAATCCAGTTGGAGACCTATGACTTTGTGTATTTTGAATGCTCTCCTTCCATCTCAAACTGGATTCCTGGAGGGCCGCAACTCTACACTCTGTTTTGCTCCAGCCCTAATCAAATACAGCTGATGCAGCTAATCAAGGTGTTCAAGACTACTAGGGACTATTACGCAGGTGTGAGTTGGAGGTAAACTGCAGAGCTGCGGCCCTCTAGGAATCCAGTTTGAGCCACTGCTTTATTATATATATATATATATATATATATATATATATATATATATATATATATATATATATATATATATATATATATATATATATAATTTATTTATTTATTTATTTTTAAAAAATTACTATAAAATCTTCACATCGTCGGTTTCATGGTTAAAGTGTCCTACTGTGCACGTATAAGTTGGAGACGTTGCTCACCCAGCAAGGTCTCCAGGTCTCTCCTGCCTCTGTTGGTGTAGAAGAAACCTCTAGGCCCACACACTAGGTAAAGCGCATCCACCAGGCTTGAACCACACAGATGCTGGGATGGAGAAGACTGCGATCCAGGCAGAGACGCCAGCAGCAGGATTAATACTGACGCCTGCAGCAACAGGACCATGGTGGACACAGACTGAGGACATGCACACCCTGCAATTCAAGATTTGATATGCTTTGTAACATCAATAATTCCAGTTAGAATAAATTATTTAAATACAATATTATTCCTATTATTATTATTATGTTTTTGATATTTTATAAAATGAATATATACATATATAAAATATTAAGTTTTATATAAAATGTATAATCAAAATAACAATTAAATATTATTAACTTTATTAAAACAGCATTAGAATTAAACAGTCAAGTAAATTTTTGAATTCTCTTTTATAAAATGAAAATATCATGTTCTTTTTTTAAACAAAAACCCTTGTACTCTTGTAAATAAACTGCACCAAATATTCGAAGAAAGTTTGTACTTGTTATCATTATTACAATTGTTTTTATAACCATTAACACAGCAGACTGTAAATGTGTATTGTGAAAAGTGCTCTACATATAAATGTAAAACGACCATCATCATTTAAACAATAAAAACACCTAACATTAGTTTCCTGCTTCCTTTGTAATCTCATTATCATTTAAAAAAGCAGCCCAGACCCGTCTGTTTTCCCACTTACCTTTTCCTGAGTGAGCAGAGTCTGTGAAGAGTGGCCAGGATTGGGCCTGAATTGTGCTGCTTATATACCTTCCTGCTGCCTGGCCCATTGCTCTTGATGGCATCAGCGGAAAAACAAAAGTTCCCCTGTAATGATATGACTCCTTATGCATGTCATCTTGCTAAGAGGTATTAGGAACATATCAGATAACTGTAATGGGCTTTATTACGATCAGATTAAAAAGTACAGGTCAGGAGTGTTATTGGGTTTAGCATTACTATCATTTCTTAGCTTGTCTCGCTCAATTGTTTATTCAACTTAAAGATGCAGCCTGTTCCTTGTTTTGGTTAAAAGGGAGTCAAAAGTGTTCAAATTTGTTTACCTTTATGCATGATACTCTATGATAAGCTTGTAATAATAATCATTTGAGGGGTCTGGTCGGTTTTGGTGGGAAATATGTGCTTGCTTGCCACTATTCTATGCATATGTAATGTCTGTGTAAATTAGTAAGGTTATACATAGGATCATTTATAACCTCCTCTCATAGCAGCTGGAATAATTAAACTTTTTCATTTGTTTATGTGAAATTTAAATAGGATGACAATTAGAAACATTTTTGTTTCTGCAAAGCTCTGATTCCTTTTTTATGGTTGCCCTGGATAGGTTATTTGTATGTTATTTAAAATAACCATCCAGCAAAGTTCTGGTTATGCTGTTTTATGGTTGCAAAAATAATCTAAAAGAAACTATAAGGTGTATAAGCTATTGCCAAATAAATAAATTAATAGTTAAAAATAAAACCTAAAAATAGCATTAAATAAAGTTATTGAAATTAATTATTAAATGATAATTAATTAAATTAATTATTAAATGATTATTTTTTAAATGTTTATTTATGTGCTTTCTGCATTTTATAAAACAACAAAACTACAACAAAATTACAACAAAATATAGAAATACAATACAATAGTAATACATATAAAATACAATACATAAAAAAACACTAACCTATGACAGAACAACTGAACACAGAGGGACAAATGCACATGAAAGCAAAATGTAATTTAGCTGGTAATGCATAAATAAAAAGTTATTATAAAGTAACTTTGTTCTTATATTAGAAACAAATGCATAATCCTGATTATAGCTTTGTTGTCAAATATTAGTTTGAGCACATTATTAAAAACATTAAAGATTATGAATAGTAAATATCAATTACATTTAATTTTTAATTACCGTGTTAATGTCAGGGGTCTTAATTTGGATTCTTTTAAAAATTTACCAACTAACATTAGGGCAACATTACACATTTGTTGGGTAATACAAAGTCACAATGCTGCTGCTGCAATGATGTTAAAATATAAATATTGAGAACAAACTTTAACAATGATAATAATTTGAATGATTTGACGGTAGCCTATATTATCAAAGCAGTTATGTAAATGTAATCACCACTGGCAACGTTTTGTTGTTCTCTCGGTGGGTCAGAACAGAAGCGGCAGACATTTTACTTACATGTTCGAATATACATCCTATTCACCAACAGCCACACCTGTTCCTCCTAACATTTCCTGAGGTGAGGTGCCGCGCCGAGTGTTTGTAATCCTAGTATTTCAGTATAAATTCAATTTCAGGTTTTAACACAAAGGTGGTGACAAACAAGCAAAACTTACAGACGACAACTTTAACAAACCGGCGGGTCCTTGTGGACGAAAGAAAGCAGGAAGTATCTCTCCGAAGTGTTGGAAATGTGATGAAAGTGTGGATTTTGAAAGGATGTGGAGTCAGGGCTCGGAGGTGTGTGAAGCGGCACGAGGCCTGCAGAAAAAGCCCTCACTCCTGGGGAAAAAGTGTGAAGTTAAAGCTGAAGAGCATCAGCATCTTTACCTTTTAAGTTTGCTCAAACAGGGACACGCAGATGACCGGTCTAACGGGACCCCCTGAGGTAATATAACATTCTTTCAATTCTCTTCATCTGTGTGTGTGTTTGTGAGGCCGTTGTCAGGGGGCCGCGAATAGTGAGCTAATCAGACTTAATGAATTACCTGAATTACCATATTAACACCCCAGTCACCTTGAAAAGAAATATTCTGGATATCGTTTAGTATTCCTGCAAGTAAAAGGCAATCACTCTTCATGTTAATTGTATTGTATTATATTACATTAGGCTAGCTAGTATTTTATATTGTAGCATACTTTATAATTACATTTATATGACTTGTTGTGTAATATACTACATAAATAAACAAAGGAGACATATTTATTCATTCATTCATTTTCTTTTCGGCTTAGTCCCTTTATTAATCAGGGTTGCCACAGTGGAATGAACCGCCAACTTATCCAGCATATGTTTTATGTAGTGATGCCATTCCCGCTGCAACCCAGTACTGGGAAACAACCATACACAATCATTCACACACATAAACTATGGCCTATTTAGTTTATTCAATTCACTTAAACCGCATGTCTTTGGACTGTGGGGGAAACCGGAGCACCTGGAGGAAACCCATGCTACCACTGATGACTGCACTGTAAAACCAGTGAAACTCACTAAATGAAATGCCACACAGAAATGCCAACTGACCCAGCTGAGGCTTGAACCAGCAACCTTCTTGCGATGGGGATTATGACTTTACAGAGAAGATGGTATTTAGAGGCTTAAAAGCACAAACTGTTATTGATTCTAACACTGTATTTGCACGCAATTGACAAATAGTTACAGACAAACAAAAAAACTTAAGTGACAAGGGAGCATTAGTCTGATCGGGCCTGTAACGATCTTGTCTATTGTCCTGAGGGTCTCGCACATTGGCCCTGGGCCATCGGGCAGTCCTTATTAGCCGCATTTCCACTATCGAGCCAGGGCTTTAATCGGGCCGGGCCGGGCCGGGCCAATAGCCCAGGAGGTTGAGAAATGAGGCCGAAATCATGTCGCGTTTCCACTGTCGGGCTAGTAGCTCACAGCGCGTCACGCAAACACCGCCCACAGAACGACCCCGAATCAAACGTCACACAACCCGCCCACTTCAGCGGGAATGAGGCAGATAAAGCACACCATAGAATCATCACGAAATGAAACCAGTAAAATGAAGACAACCGAAACAAATAAATTACCCGTTACTGTTCAGCACTACATGAAATGTCTATACGCACAGACCTGTGTATTTCCATTCATTACATTTGTTTACTCGCCGACCGACTGTTGGCATTGTGCATCGAGTGCTCTCGCCACTAACGGACCCATCACAGAGAACGCACCCGTCCATAATATAAAGCCACAGAAATTCTCCTTTATAACTCGATATGGCATGTATTTTATAACATCCTCGTTTTGATAGACGTCGTGTTAAGTGTTTCCGGCACAAGAGCGAGTAGCCTAATAAAATATAGCCATATTTGTTGCGCTCGGCAGCTATTCACTAAAGCTCTTCATTTAAAGTTTCATTTATAAATTTTACCACATCATATAACAACATAAACTCTTGTTTGAGGATATAGAACACATTTTGTGTTTGGGCGTTCCCCCAATGCGTTTAAAGCAGCGAGCGCTGCGCAGGACTGAGTGACAGAAAAAAAGGTTGGCTAGATTCTGCATTCACTCACCCAAATAATGCTCTGTTTGCGCGATTTGATTAATATCATCGTATCCAAATACTTTATAAATAATATTTCAAACCTTCTCCGGTGTTTATTGTTTTTAGAAAATATCTAAAATCTTTTTTTTCAGATAGGGCCTAGGTCTTTGTAAAATGAAAGTTAGGCTATAAGTGGCTTTAAAACGGTTTGATTTATGTATTGTATATAGGCTACCTACATTGTTATAGCTAGCTTTTGTTTATTTTATATTGGTTTATTTATTTAATGCGATTTTATATATATCCGATATTTGTAATTCTTTAATTTCAATACAGCTAAGGCTATTTTATCAAGATATGACACTATATTGTTTAAAGTCTACGAAAGTGGGCACGTAATTTGTTAAGTTTTATGTCTTTCTGTTGTATTTATATTGTGTATTATCTCAAAATCTGCCCGCTCGCGGCATCAACAGAGTTGTGAAGGGACTGCTCTTGCCCGGTCTTACACACACATACAGGCATTTAAACGCGCACAAACACACTTTTTAAACTTGACGAAAACTCTCGAAAACCTTTATTGTCTGCTGTGTTTTTAATATGGTGTAATGATTATTATGCGTTATTGAAACATAAAGGAGGACGCAGCACAGAACGTCACTAAAAATTAAAACTACTTTATTATTTTATGCAACAGCCTTACATTTAAAAGGGAAACACAAGGGTGATCATACGCAAAAAGACCCCAGACTATAAGGCTAGATGTTTTCTTTCCCTTATTTCTTTATTTGTTTGGCGCATGTACTCATGTGCGATCAGAAAACTGCCCGCCTCTCCTTTCACTCCGCCCCGAAGCCCCAGCTGGCCCTCCTTGGCCCAAGGTGTTCGGCGGGCCGAAAAAGGCCGGCCGCTGGCCCCAAGAAAGCCCCGCTTTGGCCTGATTAGGCCCCGGAAGTGACAGTGGAAACGCCACTGGCCTTGGCTCGCCCTGGCTCGTCCGCTTTAGGCGCGATAGTGGAAACGCGGCTATTGTTGAACGCTGATATATTGATCTAAGAGCCAATCACACAGCAGAAATGTACAATGGGAATGTAGAAATGTGTTGGTATTAGAGATGCACCAAATTTTCAGCCACCGAAAATAGGTTATGCTATTTAATGGACCCTCTTATTTTGTGGCTTCAGTCATTGTTGGGATACTCCTAAATCTGTACGCAGTAAAAACTGATATGGAAATATACATCGTTATCGTTCAGTATGGAGAATAATTAATTGAGATAGCATTTTTGCCATATCGCCCAGCCCTAGTTCAGGTGTAAGAAACAGTAATCTGACATGATGTCCCTGGATTAAAGATCTAGCAGTCCAAATATGCTTACACTAAACTTTGTATTGGTAACAAGCGCAATTTATATAAAGCTGCCTTGTGTCCATCAGTGGCAGCAGGAAAGTCAAAGTCAAATACAGTTTTCCAGAAAGAACGTCCAGTCTGACTCTGGTTTGTTCTTCGTCTGGACACTATGTCTGTCAGCCTGAAGCAGTGACAGGGTCCCTGGGGCGTCTGCGCTCCCTGTCCCACCACTGACAGTCCGTAATTCAGCACTAACCTCTACTGTGACCTACCCCTCACCCTGCC